GTTTAAACCTGCAGAACATGGAATGTAGGAAAAGAGAGAAAAATGGGAATTAGAGGCAGATGTTTGGAGTATAAACCTTTCCCTTATTTGTATTGTCTATAAAGAATAGGTTTTGTCACAACAAGGTTGTGTTAAGCAGTGTACATGTTCTTAGTATGGCATGTGTTTCATCAGTTTTAATCATTCAGTAGCCAGACTCATAAAAGTGGGTCTTGATGACATTGTGGGACTCATGCCTTTTACTCACACTCCCTTTTTAAGCACACAACAGCTCAGCAAAGTGTAAGCTGCCGCACAACCCAATGGGAAATCTCCCATTGGAGATTTCCATCTCCAGTACTTCTGAAGCTTGGTTATTTTGTGAGACATGCTCATGACTTTACCAGTAATGGACTGGTGAATAATCTCTAAATTCAGGGGATCACTCTTTTGTTGACATATTATTTTGAGTCTCCCCACAGCCCTGGTCTTGGCTCAAAGCTGGTGTTTATTTTCTGAGAGACTCATACCATAAATTCAGGTTTGGGGCATTTCTGAATGTAATTAAAGCTGGTGACATGCCAGCAACACAAGCTCTTTTTAAAGCAGCTCCATTTTAACCTAAAATAAAGATACTAGTATGTTTTATTTAAGTATACTTTGCAGAAATGATGTTGATTTTGTTAAAAACAATCTTGGTTCAGTTTTTCATTGCATTTTGTCTGTACTCTTAAGAGCTACAGGGACATTAACTTCAATGAAAAGACAACAGGCAAGCTGGTAAAACACTATTGCATCTGTGCTTACTTTTTGGCACTGACTGATTAAACCTTCTTAAAAGCTCCATTTAATGTGAAATAAGACCACGCTTCTGTATTAATTGCTTTATTTTATTTTTACTTTGTGTGGTTGGTGTGAAGGCATTATGTGCTACTTTTTTGAACAACTGGTTTTGTTATGATTCGGTATTATTGTGCTGAAGACTGCGTCTCTTCAGTTATTCCCCCCAAACAATAATTCTGCATTTTAAGCTAATGTGAAGTCACTGAATTTAAAATTTTATTGCATTCTGTTGCTGTTTAGGAATGGTTATGCTTGCGATGGTGTTGCTTAAATGTGAAACTTGAAAGTGCTGTTTTTTTTTAGCATACGTGGCAATTTCTGTTCTGTCTATACACTTAATCACTCCTGTAGTTTTTGTCTTGTGAATGCCGTAGACAAAAATGTCTACTGAAGCTTAAGCTGTGCTCATAACATGTAAAAGAATCTGAACTAAGGGAAAAAATGAATGTTTTTTTTTTATTGAAATTGATAAATACATATTGAAAGAAAATGTGTATGCTGTTTTCTTCCATCATCTTTGCAGTGTGTATAATCAATAATTATTCAATCCAAGCTAATGTAGCAGGGGTCAGCCACTGGCCTGAGAGAGCTGAAGACAAATGCTGGGAAGTGCTTCTGTAAGCCATCGTGTTGTGGTGCTGAGAAAGTGTTTTAGTGGTAACTAGAGGCTCTTAATCTCAAATCGCAATAAGCCCTGAGGGGAACAGCAGTTTAATCTTTCTGGCATTGATTTTCATTGTTTTGTCAATTATGATGACTTAAATCCTTAATTATTTAGCACTGCGCTTGAATTGGTTTTCCTGTATGTCTTCATTTAATAACGTTTCAAACACTGCAGCTCGTTAACAGGTCTCAATTTTTATGGACTTTAAATCTGCAGCCACAAGATGGCGCTCTCTTTGAAAACCTTTGTATGTTGCTGTGCACAGACGTAGTTTTTAGTGGTTTGGTTTAAGCAGTCAAGATTCCAGGACTGGATTATAGATAGCATCTGACATTGCAATCCACTGTTCCCAGGGTTTCTCTTTATGAGGGCATGAAATCGGTCAGTTTTGTACATCAAGGATGAATTTGTACCACTTTTTATGGTAGGTAGGTACATTTGAAAACAAAACCCTTTGGCAAGACCACTTTTACTGCAGAAAGAAGTTCATTATAATTATACAGGAGTACAACTCCAGTCCCTGAGGACAAAATTTAGCGTGTTTTCCAAGTGACTCTAAATTACCAGCTGCTAAAGACCTTATTAAAATGTTAAACTGGACCAGTTAACTGATCTGAGCATCGAGTGGGAATGAAAACCGGGAGATGGCTGCCATCCTGGACTGGAGTTGTGCACCTCGGTTCATTGGCTTCTGCAGGATGAGCTACTGTCTGGCAGCCAGAGTGGGGGGTGGGGAGATTATTTTCCCTGCTTTCTTTTGTCCCAGGAATCCCAGAGGGATTGTGGCTGAATGATGCACAGACCATTCGATATCTTCTGCAGACGGCACCTCTAATCGACATTCCCCTGTACGCTGTGTGTACGTCCCCTTGTGACTTTCCGTGTCTCGGTCAATGGAGGTATATCGTGCTGGGTGGCTTCTTTCCACCTGTCCCTGCTGTATGAATGTATGGCTGGGAGATGAGGCCTTGTAGCACAACCATAACGATTATAATGTATGTGTGCATGTACAGTAGTCAGCTGCTGGCGTTTCAGGTGGTTGCTTCTTTTTCGGGAAATGTAAGGAAAATTTCAATGTCTCTGGATTCCTGAAAGGATGGGTGGGGGGGGGGGGGGTGCCATTTTCCCTAATATTAGGTATCTGAAATTATTAGAATAAACTGGGTGACTATAAGCAAGCGTGTGAAAGGCTGTTGTACTTTTTTATACTTTATTTTAGAATAATTTTCAGACCAATCTTTACCAAGTTTATCTTCTGAGCTTTAGACAAGCGGAACTGATTGCTTTGTTCTGGGTACGTGAGACCGGATTCCCCTTGTGAAGTGAGCTGCCTATTAATTCTTATTCTTCACCAGCACTGATGACCGTTGGCACTGATCTGATGAGTAAGCAAAAGGCCAACAGCAAATGAGTTCAAATCCGTCGGGCACAGAAATGACACTGAACAAACGTTTGAGACTTCTGCATTGTTGCATTGTTGAAAACTGTGTTTAAACATAAATGTGTACTTCAGATCAAAAGAGAATTGTAAAAAAAAAAAAAGTTGACCAGATGAATTGCCTCTTCAGTGCATTTCTTTAGTTTGAATGCTTTAGTTTAAAAGCAGTTATGCCAAATTATAATTATTAGGAATAAGGTCTTGTCTTCTATCAATGAGCACCAATTCCAATAAGCCTTGGAAAGACGTTTCTTATAAAGTTACGGTCTACAACTGTTTCCCTAATGCCTTTTTCAAGGCCAGCGCTGCAGGTGTTTTTGTGATGCTAGCTTGTACCGAGTGTTCCAGTGTATTCAGAGCCGAAGTTTTTGTGTGGGCGTCGATGCAGATCAATCAGTCGGCTGCTGACCTGTGATAACATCCCTGAAAATATTGAGCCCTCACATTGTACTATAACATGAGAGTAACTTCTTGATTTTTTTTTACCAAAAGGTTTTTGAGTATGAAAGCATTTATCCAAACATGAATGATGTTGAATTTGAATAATTTCTGCCTTATTTAAAGTGTAAAATAACATTTCAAGTTTAATAGACTTTTTAATATTTCATATGCTTATGTTTTTCCCTTAAATATTTGGCCAGACGTTTTTTCTTTGTCTTTCACCAACTTGTTTGCTGGCTAGCCAGGTAGATTCCTCACTGAAATGAAGAAACCAAGGTTTTGGCTGCAGAGACGTCTTCAGGTAGGTGGCATGAAATCGGTGTTCGGACCTAAAGCTTTTCACAGGTTGAAGTTTTTCAACTGCTTGAAAGTGAGCTAAAAGGTAACATCCTATCACTTTAGGGACTGTGGTCCCCATCTCCAACCTCTTCTTTGGTTCGTAAACCTGAATGCCATGATGAGACTGTTAACCCTTTGCAAACTTGTGGCAACACCATGGCAGGACGCCAACAGCCATTCTGGCACAAACTTTTTATCAGGTTTGGCGTCGGGACAGCTGTCAGCTGTGCTTGACCCCGGGCGCATATGTTTAGCGTGAGAGAGCAGTGGGAGGGAAGGGGGGGGAGGAAGGGAGATGTTTTGTAGTCACACTACTTGCACCATGTGCTATCAGGCAAATCCCATTAACTTCTTAAGCCTTTGCTTAAGCACATAGCATGTGCACACTGCTTCAAACCTGGGTTTGCACTCAGATGAAAGGGAGGAGAAGGCTGACCTCTTGCTGATCTATAATCTTCCGTTAGTTTGCGCACCTCCAGGATTGCTCGTTCGCAAGCGTTGTGTTAGGTTGGAGGAGGGTCGTGTGCGAGCACGTTGTTTTCAAGTAGGAGCTTTTCCAAGTAGGCTTTCTTCTAAAAAAAAAAAAAAAAAAAACTAACAAAGTTCTAACAAAATGAGACATTCCTGTGGCTTGTCCATTGCAAATCCTTTGTTGAAAACCGGATTTCTTAAAGTGTAAGACTTGCGTGGCATTATAATTTGTAACACTTGTCTCCTGGTAGGAGTTTGAAAATCTTTCGTGTCTTCATATTTTTAATTTTAGGAGCACAGAGGTGCTCCATAAGGTAGCAGGTGTTAGTGCTTATTAGTATACAAAATATTCCATTTGAAGTCGAGATGAGACTGGTGAGCTAGAGTAGGGAAGAAAATACCACAAACAACCAGTCATGGTTGTGTAAACAGTCATTTCAAAACTCGCGCACTGCCTGTCCCCAGGACACAGGACAACCCTTGGTGCTGTGATGTGATGATTCTGCAGGTTAGCCATGGCCTTATTTCTTTGGGTGACATGTCTGATTTCTAGGATTACAGGATTAATCCAGGCTAAGGTAGCTGTGCTTTCATGGCTTCCCCATACGCTGTTGTTTTGACATTT